TCTACATTACATGAGGAAATCTAATGTAAACGTACTGCGCAGATGCACAGTTCAGAGAGGGCTCGAGAGCTACTCTTAGAGCCCCTGAGATCTACCAGTAGCTCGCGATCTACTGGTTGGTGACCACGGCTCTAGACCTTTAATCATTCTTGTTGTTCTTCTCTGGACCCTCTCCAATTTCTCCACATCTTTCTTGAAATGCGGTGCCCAGAACTGGACACAACACTCCAACTGCGGCCTAACCAGCGCAGAGAAGAGCAGAAGAATGACTTCTCATGTCTTGCTCACAACACACCTGTTAATACATCCCAGAATCATGTTTGCTTTTTTTGCAACAGCATCACACTGCTGACTCATATTCAGCTTGTGGTCCACTATAACCCCTAGATCCCGTCCTCCTTCCTAGACAGTCGCTTCCCATTCTGTGTGGCTACGTCTACACTGGCCCCTTTTCCGGAAGGGGCATGTTAATTTCACCTATCGTAGTAGGGAAATCCGCGGGGGATTTAAATATCCCCCACAGTCGCTTCCTATTCTGTATGTGTGAAACTGATTGTTCCTTCCTAAATGGAGCACTTTGCATTTGTCTTTATTAAACTTCATCCTGTTTACCTCAGACCATTTCTCCAGTTTGTCCAGATCATTTTGAATTATGACCCTATCCTCCAGAGCAGTTGCAACCCCTCCCAGCCTGGTATAATCTGAAAACTTAGTAAGCGTACTTTCTATACCAATATCTAAATCGTTGATGAAGATATTGAACAGAGCCAGTCCAAAAACAGACCCCTTTGGAACATCACTAGTTATACCTTTCCAGCAGAATTGTGAACCATTAATAACTACTCTCTGAGGATGGTTATCCAGCCACTTATGCACCCACCTTATATTAGCCCCATCTAAGTTGTATTTGCCTAGTTTTTTTATAAGAATATCATGCGAGACCGTATCAAATGCCTTACTAAAGTCTAGGTATATGACATCCACCGCTTCTCCCTTATCCACAAGATGCGTTATCCTATCAAAGAAAGCTATCAAATTGGTTTGACATGATTTATTCTTTACAAATCCATGCTGGCTGTTCCCTATCACCTTGCCAGCTTCCAAGTGTTTACAGATGATTTCCTTAATTACTTGCTCCATTATCTTCCCTGGCGCAGAAGTTAAACTAACTGGTCTGTAGTTTCCTGGTTTGTTCTTATTTCCCTTTTTATAAATTGGCACTATATTTGCCCTTTTCCAGTCTTCTGGAATCTCTCCTGTCTCCCATGATTTTCCAAAGAGGATGCTTTCCAAATCATGCTGTGTACATTGTCAGAGAGTGCTCCATAAAGACTTTTTACGTGGTAGCCACAGTTCAAAATGTTAGGTTGTATATTGTAGGCATTTTCTCATCTAAGCACAAGGTTCAACACATCACATATGCTGTGGATGTTGGGCACTCCAGCCTGGCCAGAGCAGCGCCTGGCCCAGGTGCTATAGCTGCTCCTAACCGCAGCGGGGGAGGGAGCACTCCTGCTGCACTGGGCTGGAGCAGCCCCTCCACCCACCCTTTTTAAACGATTAATTGGTTAAACTTAATGTTTAACCCATAAACTAATTTAATGGGATTTTACATCTCTAATTGTTGGCAAGCATGAAATCAGAAAAAATGTTCTTATTCACTGAAGCTTTGTTAGTTTAATATCTTCTAGCTACTTGAACTGGTGTTGTGTAAGTAACAGTGTGAGCGATTCTTGTACTGCTGCTTATAAAATATTTGCAGATCTTACTAAGAATTTTTTAAGTGGATTTGAAACCAAAGGAGAAAACACTATATACTATTTTATTAATGTGCTGGCTAATATGTACTGTTTCAAAGTGAGGACTATGCTGACTTCATAGTAGTTGGATTAAAATATCCAGAAATCTGCTGTTAAGGTTTTGGAGCATTGTAGCTATTTTACTGTTAATGACATTTTAGAGTTTACCATCTTAGTTTTAGTTTGAGAGAAAGGAAGAGAATATGGATGTCAATGTATAGTCGACTATACGAATGACTGATAAACCTGGGCTTATTGGTTAATCTTGTTGACTACACACATTCCTCCCTCTCCCTTGATGCCTCTATCAGAGACAGCAAACGGGATAGAAGGGTAAGAGGAGCCAGTGCATGTGAGGAGCTGGCTTTAAGCAGGTTCCGCTTGAGCAGCTCCTGCCTTTGATAGAGAGGCAGCAGCGTGGAGCATGAGGGGGGCAGGCTGGCTCCGTGGACCACCTCCCCCAGCCTTTGCTACATTCTACATAAGCTCGCCCTGGAGGTCGAGGTGGCGGGACCGCTGCGCTCTGGGCGGTCCCGCTGCCTGCGAGCTCCAGGGCGAGAGAGCCCCGTTCATAAGTGTGGATCCGACATAAGTTGGATCCGCGTAACTCGGGGACTGCCTATATCTAGAAGTTAAATATGAGCAGTGCCACTACATTTTATCTGGGTATGGATTACAGATGTTAGATAGTGATTAATTGAATAGTCGTGTAACTATACAAAATATTAGGGATGTTAGATATCAGTTAATTGAATAGTCAACAAACTGCATGAGTTCTTATCGGTTACTCAGCTATACTATGGTTTCTGGGGGTGGGACTAGCAGCCAGTGTGCCCCTGACCTCTCTTCCAGCCCCATTCCCGGAGAGCCTCCTGCCACCCCATGCTGCTGCCTCTCATACATTACAAAGTTAGGTTGACACTAGGAATGTGATTGGTTAACTGGTAAGCATTCTCCTTACGGAGTGATGCTTACCTATTACGGTTAACTGGGGAGGGCTAAAGCAGCACACCACCTGCTGGAGGTAGGGGGCTGCTCCTGCTCTAGGGGCCTGGCGCAGGTGGAAGGGGGGCTCTAGTTCAGCTGGAGCAGTCCCCGCCTGCGGAGGGCCCAGTATGCCATGGACAGGGACACCTGAGCCTTGCTAGACGGGTTGCTATGGTTGGGCTGGCATGGCCCCTCCATCCCTGTTTAATCGGTTAAACTGGTTAACTAATTAAATGGGATTTTACATCCCTAGATTACACAGTGACTTACATCTACCCATATGTGAATGTGTCTGCTCAGATGTGTCTCCAGCTTATGTAAACATCTTTCTACAGCAGTGGTCACCATCTGGTAGATCGGGATCTACTAGTAGATTTTGGAGCCTCTGACAGATGATCCTGACTGCTTTGGCCAGGAAGCTCTCAGGTGCTGATGGTTCAGTTGCCTCTCCACGTACAGTCATATTGCTCCTGCCCTCTGCTTTGGAGCCTCCTGCTTGCTGTGCAGGGTTTGGGAGAGAGAAGAGGGGGGGTTTGATGTCAGGGCATCCCTCTTCTCCCCACTCCTGTATCCTGTCTCCACACAGAGAGAAGGGGATGGAGGGAGCTTGGAGAGAGCTCTGTCACTCACATTGTGTGTGTCACTCCCACGAACACACTGTCCTTCCTTCTCATCTCCTGACCCAACATATACATGGGCGGTTGTTATTACTTTTACTGCTTCCAAAGTGGGTTATTTTTTAACTTGTCTGTGCATTCCATGGTTGTTACTTTTACTGCTTCCAAAGTGGGTTATTTTTTAACTTGTCTGTGCATTCCATAACTTTCATTTCTCCTATGTTTAAATGTAATTCTGTGAGTAGTGAGTTCTAAAATGCCTAACCTGTTATGTCTGTGTCTGGAGTAATTGTCCCTGTGGGAATTGCTGCTCCTGGAAGTGGCTGGCTTGTTGCTGCAACCCTGCAGCCCCTGAGAGAGAGTCAGAGCAGAGCAGGGGGTCTCCATATTCTTCCCTTGCCTGCAGACACCGCTCCTTCTTTCAGCTCCCATTGATCACTAATGGAGAATTATAGCCAGTAGAAGCTGTGAGGTCTGTGCCTGTAGATGAGAGGAAGCACTTAGAACCACTGCTGTACATGCCAGCTTCTTTCAGGAGGAGCAGAAGTAAACCTTTCTTAACTCCATTGCTCCATCCCTGGGTCATTGGTCTGGCCACTCTCAGGGTGAGTGGAACTTGAGCCCACAACCCTGCTGTCCCCACAACCCTGCCCTATCCCCTAAGCCACTACAGGACCCACCCCATCTCCCTACCTTCAGGGCATCCCTTATCCTGCCTTCCTAATGCAGGAGCCAGCTTGATCTCTAGGGCAGTTGGTATTGGCTGCTAGGCTGCTGCCTGAGTGGGTGGAGTGGGGGCCTCGGGGTGGAGGAGCGACTTGAGTCCACCACCGTGTATTCCAGATGCTGATGGCCTATCCCCTAGGCCACTCCAGAACCCATCCCACCTCCCTACCTTAAGGGTTTCCCCTCCCACACTTCGGACTCCTTGGCTCAAGACCAGAGCCTGCACCCCAACCCCCTATCCCAGCCTGGTGAAAGTGAATGAGATTTGTGGAGGAACGGGGATGGAATGAGCAGGGGAGGGGGCCTCAGAGAAGGAGGGGAAAAGGAAGCCGAGCAAGGGTATTTGGGTTTGAGGTAGAACTTACATTGCACTTAAATTGAAAAAGTGATCTTGTGGTTAAAAAAGTTGGAGACCATTGTTCTACAGCAACACAGTAAAACCATCTTCCTTAATGGCACAGAGCCATGGGCAACCTGCTGAGGTCGATACAGTGAAAGTATAGACACACTATTATCAGTCAACCCTAACAGTCCTTCAGAAGATGTCCCACAATTCCTCATTCCCTGTGACAGTGATTACTCTGATCATATTTTTGAGCTCTGCTACCCATGAACTAGAAACTGCTTTCTCTTCAAATGTTTTGCATGTTTTTGAAATTTTTGTGATGATTGGACCTTACTGAGCACACCTTTGACAGGCGTAGTCTACACTACTACATGAGTTGGTGTAAGTTACATTGCTCAGGGATTCAACCCTCTCCTGCATGAGCAATATAAATTACATTAACTGAGCATTTTGTCAGTGGGAGGCGCTGTCACATTTTATTACGTCTTCAACAGATCCACTAAAATGCACCGATATAACACTGAGTTGAAAACAAGCCCCAAGAGAGAGAGACTACACATGTTCCTGCCTGGAGTAGACAGGAGGAATTGGATGTCCTGCAGAAGGTTGTTAAATTGTGTTTAATCAGCTAATTGACTAGTCGATGGAAATTGCATTGACTACTTGATTCATTAATAAGGGGGGAAACTACAGAGCTGCAGTGTGGAACCTGCTGTGGCTCTGCTTTTTAAATGTAGCAAGAGCCACCTGTCAACTCTTACTACATTTAAAAATAAGAGCTGCAGCAAACCCTCTTATTGACTACGCGATCAGCTTATTAACGGCTACTTAACATCCCTGATAGGGATATCCCTTTTATCTCTCAAGATCTTGATTATACTTTTCTGGATATGCTCTACTGTCTTTCCCCAAAGGTTACTAGGAATGTCTGCCTTATTTCTTCCTCCACAGAAGGATAGTTTATCACACCACTATGCAGTGAGTTTGGCTGTCAGCAATGCAAAATGGGCTAGCAGCATATGGGGGGCATGGCAACTTTGGGACATGCCATTAGTGGCTGTTCTATGTGCCTTTGTAACCTTCGGGAGTGAGAACAACTAAAATCATCACCACCACCTCTGAAAAACAGTGCCCGTATTCAGTGCTCTTGCCCTGCATGTTCTCCCCTGTAATAGGGACCAACATTTTATTTTTTCATGCAATGGAAAATTCATCCACCCTTCCCTTGCCATTTGGAGAAATACTCATAGCTGCGGCTGGAGAACAGTGCTGTGTTGAGTTGCTACAAATCTGAAGTGTCAGTAAGCATTTCTTTTTGAAATTGTGTATGGAAATAATGGAAGGGAGTTTTGAAACTTCCCTTTCCCTCATGACTGTAAATCCAATGGCACATATGTCTGTTTTTATCAGCAGCTTCTGGCGTGGTAGTCTTGAGGGGTGCCCCCTTCATACCTGCAGAACACCTGACCCTGAGAAGGAGAAAGAAGAGGACTAGGGAGGACGTGTTCTAAGATTCTGAAAGACAGTGCTGCATCAGATTGTTAACTAAGGACGTGAAGGGCCAGTATGACTGAAAAAGAGAGGACAGGAAAAAGACCTAGAAGTCCCAGCAGGACAAGGAGAGGGAGATGGACGAGCACATAATGGGTCTTCTCAGGCAGCAAGCCCAACTGCTGCAAATGCTGCTTGACCTGCAAGTCCAAAAATCTTTGACTCTTCACCCTCTGCTGTCCGTGGTTGCTGCTCCCTACACCACTCAGTGGAATCATGGAGTTTATTCTTATCCCTACCACTGCAGAGGACAAGGAAAGCCACAGTTGCACATACTCTAACCTGTGAGAACCACAACTTGTGTGTGTGTGTGGCCACAACGAACTACCATTGTGTATTCAAATGAACACACACTTTTTTAAACTTAAGTTTTCACTCTATTCAGTTGTTAACAATTATATAACATTGGTTATGGGATTTTTTTTGTACATTGATTTTTTTTTCTGCATTTTTTCACTCTGTAAAGTTCTGGTTTCAGAGAATCAAATAATCTTTATTAGTTCACAACAAATATTGCAGAATGCATAGCAGTCGTCAAAGCAAACAGTAAACGCATACCAAGCATCACAGACTCCAAGGCAGAAGCTTCAGGGAGGTGGTGGTGTGGTCACAATTGCAAGGATAGCCTTTTGTGTCTCAGTGCATCCCTGGGGGTTGAGTGGGAGGATGCCCTTGATTCTGACCCCCTCGCTTCACCCTCCCCTCTGCATTCCTAGGACCCTGGGAGAAGAGGCTATGGAAATCAATGAGGAGAGAATTTTGGTTCACAAAGGCTGGAGAGGAGTGCCTGTGCATGTAGGCGTCCTGAAAAGCCACCATGTGGTCCATCATATCCAACATGAGTAACAAGTTTCTCTTGGTTCCTCTCTTCCAGTTGCCTGTACAGACTCCTGGCCTCTCACTCCATATGCATCTCCTTCAGCAACGTATTCCTTCATTCACTTAAGTGTACCCTGTATAAGTGGGTGGATTGCATTTGCTCTTGAACATGTCATCCATAGTCTGTTTTTGTCTGCGGATGGAAGAGAGTGCAGCAGGCTCACTGCATTTCCTACTGTAACAAAAAGTGAAAGGCTGACTTGGAGACACATTGTAGAGCATAAAACCTAATCTGTTAGAATAAAAGGAAGGTCTGTCTAAAGACGATAGGAATGTGTTACTCCAAGGACATAGGTAGCATACACGGTTAAAGATGCTGCTTAGTGACCTTGCAGTGACTACCTGTGACTTAATTAAGCACTGAAGTAGATCCTTTTTCCTCCCTACTCTCTCTTCAGTGTAAGTGCAATAAAAAAAAAGGTGATGTTTAGGTGCAAATAATCCTTGAATAACATTTTACCTTTATTACAAAAGATGGAGAAATGGGGAAAATAACCGATGCAGGTATGACAAACATAAACAAACTAGTGATACTGACAGCAACAAACAAGGGACTTGAAGCCTAGACCCACTAAATTAAACCCTTTGGCTCTGTGATTAAAATGGTAAGAAACTGCCTGAGTACAGTGACCTTTTTTCCCTGAGGATTTAGTAGTGGTGATGGTTAGGGATGTAAAAGTATAACTGTTTAAATGGTTCACGGATAATGGTAACCGATAAGCCCAGGATTAATGCTTAAATGCAGGCTCCCAGGCTTATACTGCTGCCTCTGATACAGGTTGTCAGAGAAGCTTAAAAGTCAGGAGCGAGGCCAGCCAGCTCTGCTCCTGAGGAGCTTGCTGTGCTGTGGGCTCTGCAATATATGATTTATACTGCAGAGCCTGTAGCGTGTAACTTTGTAACCCCTCAGATTTTCAGCAGTTACATGGTTACCTAATTAACCACTTTTTAATAGCTCTAGTAATAGTGGAGGTGCCCAAGACCTTCCACCTTCAGGCTGATTTAGAGCCCCTGGGAGGAGCACTGGGGAATCCCACGATATTCTGACCGGGACTGGTGATTGAAGAGGAGACGCAGGCTGGTGATACTACAAGCAGGTTGGGTTGGTGAGGATGGTAATCCTCTAATTTCTCCACTGCAGGTGCAGCGGGGTTGTCCCTTGTTGTCAGGTGGTAGAACAGAATGGACCCCCTCACTGCTGCCGCTATGGGTGGTAATCCTCTAATTTCTCCATTGCAGATGCAGCGGGGTTGTTCCTTGTTGTCAGGTGGTAGAACAGATGGACCCCCTCACTGCTGCCGCTATGGCAGATAGCCTTGAGGCAATACAGTCCTTATAAAGCCACCAGGGAGGGAAAAGTCTGAGGAAAATAGAACTCTTGATGACTGGTTGGTGGGAAAACCCAGTTTGAGATGGTTTCGGAGCAGTCAGTGCCTGAGGAGACCCAACATGGATTCCTAGGTTAAGGGTCCCAGACTCTGGTGTGGTTGCCCCTATTACTAACTTAAACACCGTCATAGCATTAGATGCTAACAAGGTAGAATAATTAATCACGCATAAACAAAACAGCTTAACAGATGTGATGTGTACAAGGCCACAGTTAAATGGCCACTATGCAGCAGGTACACTGAGTTCTTAAGGAAGCAGCTGGATGTAGTTTTGTGGCAGGCATGGTAAGAGACATGCCAGGGCACAAGTCTGCAGGAGGAAGAGGGCTCATGCAGTGCCTCCCCTCTGTTGGGCACCTTCCCCCTGTTTGTTGGGAGAGTATAACTTTTCCCTTCCTACAGGAGCAGGTGGCTGGGAGGGAGTCCGGGCGTGGCAGCAGGACAGAGGCTCAAGCAGTGCTTCATTAGGGAAGAGCAAATGGAAGTTTACTGCAGAGGCATCAACTAATAGCTTCCCTTGCTTCATCCAGATTGCCATGTGAGATATCAGTATTATACTAATCACAGAGTGCTAGAGAGCAGATGCTGACTTAATGTGGCCAGAAACCTGGACCTTATGCTGCAATGTTTTATGCTGCAATGCCAGACCACTTACCTTTCCATGCCAAGCCAGCAGTATCCTACTGTGGAGGGTGGAATAAGGCAGGCCTTCTCAGAAACCTTGGGAGAAGGATCAAAGAATTCCTGAGAGCTTCACGGAGAAGTGAAGGGTGTTTCCTCTCTGTCTCCAGACATGTTAACAAGCTATTCCAGTGACCCCCGCTGTGTAGGTACAGTGGCTGCCACAGATCACACCCAATTGTGTTAACCCACTTTTAGGAAGATTAAAAATGTGAAGTCACCAGAAGTGTCCTACCCTGGCTCAGTGCCCGACTGAGACACATCCTGGGAGGAAGGGATTGTCTCCAAAGTTATACAAAGTTTTTGGTTTTCAGTGAGATTGGTTGCCTCACTTGTCTACTAACCATTCTGCTCTTCTTTCCTCCACCATGCTGTCCTCCACATTGCTGCTGGAGTTTGCCTGAGGAGTGTCTTAGGAGGAATCCATGGGTTGGCTAGGGTAGTTGGTTGGGTCCTGTCCCCCCAAGGATTGCATGCACCTGCTTGTAGAAGTGGCATTTTTGCAGCGGTGCTCCAGACCGTCCATTTTCCCCTCTTGTCTTTTGGTATGTCTGCCCCAGCTCCTTTATTTTCATACAGCCCTGCTGGGAATCCCTGGTATACCCTTTCTTGTCTTTGCCCTTTGCGATCTTGGCACAGATATCTATTTGTTTTGCTGGTTCATAGTTCTGCGAGAATAGATTTCTCTCCTCTCTCAGCAATGAGGTCCAAGATCTCCTGCACGCCCCATGCTGATGATTGTCTGTGACCCTGGGAACTCATGGTCACATGTGCTGCTCAGGCATGCCGCGTGTCCTGAGGTTTGCTTGCCACGCTGGCCACATAAGAAATTAACCAGATTTTTCCTGGGGCTTTTACTGTTCACTTGGAGAGCAGTAGAGTTGAAAATTCTGGCCAGACCAGTCATGCAGGACACTGTAGCATACCTCCCAGAGGCCAAGAATGCATACTTTCACAATATTGCATTTGCACTACCATAAAGTCAGCCATTCAAGGTCAAATTTAAGTACTCCTGCTCTCACAAGTCATAATGTAAATTTACTTTTATGGCCCTTAAAGTTGTTGGAACAAGCTTGGCGGTGTGAACTCATTGTTTAGAAAATTGT